GGGGGGGGGACACGGGGCTGTATGACAGTCCGCTGCTGCTGCTGCTGCGTCCATATGTGGCACTGAACGGCGAGGGGGCGGGGCAGGAAGTCAAGGCTGGGGCAAGGGTTCGGACCTCCTCAGCTAAAACTGCAACTGTGGAGACAAAGCAGTCGAACTTTGGGTGAACAATGGTATGGCGTATATATGTTATTATTACACGTATTGTTGGCACCGCTGTTAAAATGTACTAAGTCCAAAATTTTGAAATTAATTTCTTTTAAATTGCAAGATTTTTAATCAGTGGTATAGATTGCTTGTACTCAAGATATATTTTGTCGAAATTCGAATTCTAAATATTGAAGAAAAAAAAAAAAAGCAGGAAAAATAGGAGCACATGACGAATGTACACTTTATAAAAGAATTAAAGTTTTCCTTCTTGAGTACAATTTCAGTTTCAGGGCTTACTATATTAGAACAGCTTACTTATGATATATAGATACAGAGTTACTTACTCTCTCCCTGTTACTTATGATATATAGATACAGAGTTACTTACTCTCTCCCTGTTACTTATGATATATAGATACATAGTTACTTACTCTTTCCCTGTTACTTACGATATATAGATTACTTATGATATATAGATACATAGTTACTTACTCTCTCCCTGTTACTTATGGTACATAGATACACAGTTACTTACATAATAATACTCTCTCCCTGTACCGTCAGGTACACAAGAAGGAGAAGAGTCACCGCCACATTATTCGGTTTAGTTTTAGTAGAGGTTTAACGGCGCTCGCAACTACATAAGGTCATAAGAGCGCCAAGGGGTGGATGTCAACAGAGAAGTCCTTACACGGAATCAGACTTACTGTGCTCACCTCTCTAGCTTCAACAGCACAAAGTCTGCTTCGACTATCAAGGCACCCCGGAAATAGCAGTTCACAAGAGAGTGACAAACATACAAAAGAAGTAGAAGAAAAATTACGATAGTAAGGATGAGGAAAGAAAAAGCAGCAGTTCCCCCCATGTTGTTCCGGCACAGTATGAGCATGACATTGATAAATCAGCCCATTTACAATTCTACTGTGCACAAGAACATGTTACTATCCCCCATTTGGGAATGGCCTAAAGACACTTCAGTCAG